CAAATGGACCAATACGGCAATGCCACGATGATCCATTTGGCAAAGTAAATCCATTGGGTATCCTTGTTGGTCTTCAGACAACAATTCTGATGGCTAAAGAACCAAATGGGACAGGCAGGGAAAAAAAAAAAATTTATTTCCCAAAGACTCTGCAGTGAGTTTGGCATTTCGTTTTGCAGCCAGACCCTCAAACGCTTCGAGTTTTTGGAGACTTTTCTAGTCATTCTGACTTTAGAAAAATCCCCGACTCAGCTTATGTATTACAGCAGACACAGGCAAAGAACAGATGATTCAAACCACATTTTGACAAATCAGTCATTCCAAATTCATAATGAACACAACATGTTACACGTCTTTAATGCATCAGAAACAGCTCAGCAGACTTTTCACCAGTGGACATGTCACAAATAACCGCTGCAATCAGCGTTTTCTTCCATACACAGCCGTTTATTACATGTCTGGCTTTATGTTTCCACAGCTGAGATTCTGTGTGTACAATTACAGTTTCAGTGCAGCGTGAGTCTGTTCACGCTGAAAGTGATTCCATGTCTCAATGGCCTCTGGAAATCCATAAAAGCAAATAACTGCAGTATTTCAATGTGGATGAAGTGACTTGATATCAATGAATCCACTCCAAGAATGAAGTAGGGAATGTTGCTTTGTTGTTCTTAATCAGTCTCCAAACATTTTCCACTGACCATTTATCGAATATTTCAGCAATCCATCCACATCGCAGTCAAACCCGAGCACATACAAACTACTTGAAGGCTCGAGACAAGACAAGATGACTGACACGCACAAACAAACACAGTCAACAAAAACCACACTGTCCCTACTCACCCATTCTCCAGGCCGCCCAACCGGTAACCAGGTGAATGTATTTCCCACTCGTTCATTAAACACCTCCCACGTGACAAAGAAGCTAACCGTAATCCCTGGAATAGACAAGCAACACCATACACACAACACTTTATCACCACAAAGTCCATATGGCTCCAACACTGTGTTCGTTTTTCAATAAAAACATTTTTTTCCCAAAAATATATTGCAATAATGGATAGTTTGTAGAAGAGAACAATTTTTGCAAATTGTAATATTTTACCTACAAATTGATGTGAAACATGGTGCCTGCAAAGACCTAAGTTGTGGATTTTATTTTTTTATTTTTTTATTTTTTTTATTTTTTTTTAAATGACATCAGAAACAGCAGTATGCGACATTACGTGATGGCAGAGCTTCAGTTCATCCTTTGTCATTTTTTTTTTTTTTTT